TTTAGTAAAATTATTAGATTGAGTTGAATGGGTGTTTAGTTAGTAAAGATTTCATAATGATTTCTAACGATTGCCATATATAGAAATATTTTAAAGCTGGAATTTATATGTAGTCGTAGGATCTGGGGAAAAAAATATAAAGAATGTTGGTCTATAATTTTCTGCCTTATTTATTATGATTATTATTATTATGGTGGGTTGTGGAATAGAAAGTAGAGAATGGAATTGTTGTTGAACTTGAAAAATAAAATAAAATAATTAAATACAAAAAAATTGGTGGCTAATGAGGAATAAGGATTTTCTATATTAATGCTGGGCTGATGACAGAAGGAGTAGAAATTTACATGTGACTATTTAATGCTTGGTGCAAATTATAGGTTCCAGCGAACAAATTTACAAATTTGCATTCGATCTTTTTTTTATTCGTCATTTGTTCCTTTCTGTATACTTCTCGTATTATAGATAATGTTCTTTCCGTATGTATTGAGTTAGGTAGTTAAGAATTAGGTGTATATTATATGATTTAACATTGATTCAAGGGTATTTGGTTGTAAATTTGAGAATTTGCCAAAGCATATGGGCATGGGATGATATATTATTGACTTGAAATTTTTGTGTGATTGTTTTTTATTATTTTTTACATCCTTATAGTTGTGATAATGGAGATGGTTGTGTATTATGTCGATATTGATTGAGTGAGATGCATCATCATCCCCTTATTTTGAAATATATTCTATACATGCATTGACATGAGATTGAGTATAAGATGGGCACGTGGAGATCGTCCGTGCTGGGGATGGTAAGATGTTAAGATTGTAATTTGGGCACGTGGAGACCATCCGTGCGGAAATTGTTCGATATTATGATGGTGCGTTGAGATCGTCCGCACAGACACGTGGAGATCGTCCGTGTCGGTATATGGACCTCGCGAGTCCCCCATGGGTCATGAACTATCGATGTATTTCCGAGGAGTATCATGTATATACGATTGAGTGAGTACTGGGTATTCTGAGACATATCATTACATGGTATCATATTGCATTGCATTCATCCCATCATTCATTCTTGATGATTATATGTTTGATTTGGTGTTTGGAAAATACTTAAATGTTGATTTCC